GAACATCTAAAGAGCCTTTTGTTTCAGTTCCACAAGACTTTCAGTTTCAGTGAAATTACAGCAATATCAAGTACATGAAATTCAAACCTGTGTGTTGCTTGGCAATATTTAGTGTGTGCCGGTAACACCAACGATGAAGTTCATGTACTTATTTATTGTAATGTCAACTGACCCACAAGGCATAGAAAACTGAAATCTCTTTTTGTATGAAAAGAATTCTGTTCTAATGTTTATGAAGTAGCCATGACATCTGCATTGAAATTGTCATTTTTACCAGTTGCACCATCACTTCAGCATTTATCAGTTTGGTCATGACTAATTGGGTTGGTCAAAAGAACACAGACTTCAGCGCTGAAAACAGAATGATTAAAGTATTTATGCGGTAATGCTAGAAAAATGCTTTTTGACTTATATTTAAAAATTCAGAGGTATTACAGTTACTTAAATAACAAATATCACTTCAAGAAACATCTACCTAATGTGGAGCCGAGGGAATAAATTTTTGAGACATGCTCTAAAATGTGTTTTACTGATGAAAATACCAAAACTTAGAAAATAAGGGGTAGTGGGACGTTATTTGATACAAACATTAACTGCCTGTGTGCGTCATCCCAGCATGCCTGCGGTGTCGACGAAGGTGAAATTGACACCTGAGCTGCGCTCGAGACAGGGTCATCTCAATAGATGTTTTTCTGCAAAATGTTGAATATGTTAATGCATTATAGTATCACAGTATCAGTTAAATAAAGATCTTTTGTGTATGTGTGTGTTTGTTTTGAAATAAATTTATACAATTACTGTACATTGGAAAGAATCCTACCACTTGTGTTATCTTATCGATTGATTGTAGAAATGTGCAGCGTTTTAATAAATGTTTTGCATGTCAACAGTATATTTCAATGAAAAAAATATGGATGTAATTTGGTCAGTTTAATCTAGTTGTGAACATTGGCCAAAAGATTTATGAAGTCACTGGTGTAGCTTCTTTAGAATATATATATATTTTTCTTCTCATAAAAGTTTGTAGACCCACTGTCTAAGCACTCCCTTGTCAAAAGTTGTCAGGATGGTTTTATGTCCCGGTTTTGCATTTGAAGGGCGGTCCCTGTCTTGTCTGATTTGTTTACAATATTGTAAACTTGTTGGTAGACATGTCAACAGCTCTACAGGTTCTGTAATTAACCCTTTCTAAACTAATGAAAGGTTTACCTCTGTCTTTTTAAGCAGAAAAACCTATAAACCTTTGCAACAATCGACTGCAAATCGTTGGCCACAGTGGCCAGCTGTGATAAAGATGTGCATGCATGGCCGAGGAAACAATTATCAAGACTTAGCATTATATAATATTTGGCCTTCAATAAAAGCGATAATTAAGTAAAATGCTTATAAACATTCAACATTTATTTGTTTAGGAAAAAGCGTTAATTCATATTTTACACCACCTGTATTATTAGCATAAGTGTAAAGACTATTTCAGATTTCTATTGTCTATAAGTTGCTGTTTTGGTACCAAAGTCTCTCCCTGTAAACTGCTTCCTTTAAATGCATGGGAATGTTCAAATCAGTTGAAATAAAAATTAGGTAGACAATGAAGAGTTGACATATTGACAACATATAGTACATTTATACCTATATAAAGATATTAAGGCTAAAAGCATTTTTCTAGCATTTCCGACAGTACTTTAAGGCCCTGGCTTGGGTAGTGACTACACAGAGAGTGCTCATCATGAAGTATAATTAAAGTAAAACAGAATGATCTTATTAGCCCCAGAATAATTCTGCTATAAATTGTCCCAAACCATCAACACTAAGACTCAAGCATAATATATATGTACCTGTTTCTGGCTCTGGTGCAACAAGACTATTACCTTAAGGTTCCATGGGTACAAGTAAGTTTCATCATCCTTAACTCAAGCCCAGCATTAAAAGTAAATAAATGGTTCACTGGATCAGGGACCGAGAAATCCTGCAGTTTAGAATCCTGCACATAAGAGAGTACTATCTCCAAAATGCATGCACATGAAACAAAATCATTAGTTACCCCATTGAGAACTCTGTGATCTCTTCTATGAGTTTGTCTTGACAGTCCTGATTGGTGCAGCTAGGTTGTAGGAGAAATATGCCAGAGTCAGGTTTGTAGTTTCATAGCCAGCAAATAGAAACAGGACTGCATTGGCCAGAATCTCATCGTTTGTCATCCCTAAAGAACAGAAATATTGCAAGATCATGCATTACATTATTATGTTGAATCAACAAGGGTCTGAATGAGACTGTAAACATGATAGAGAGGTAAAACAACCCAATAATCATCAGAGATGACAAATCCCTGGCCCTCATCATCTGACAGTTACTTGAAGTCCAACTTTATTCTTTTTTAGACCAAATCGTTTCCATGGAAACTATTTGCCAAAATCTGCAAATAGCAAAAGACACCACTTTGGGATCTGTTTGATATATCTGCTATGTTTGTTAATAGATACTGAATGTTTTTGTGCTATGCTCGAGATCGAAATCCTGCGCCATTTTTAGACTAAGTCCAAATTGTCTCCATGAAAATCCAGAAAAGTAAATTTGCCTAAAATCTGTAAAATAGCACAAAGCACCACTTTAGGTTGTATTTCATATAGCTACCAATTTTTGTTGAAAAGTATTGAGCGATATTTTAGTTATGCCTGGAAACAAAATATGACGAACCTGAGCCGGATGAGGTGTTGAGTATGATGAAACATGGAGAAGATAAAACAACCTGGCGAGGGTGAAACATGGAGGTTAATCCAGATGGTGAAGGTAAACCAAGGGAAAATTTGAACCCAAAGGAGAGCCCAGGAGGAGAGTTTTATCTAACTTCAAGCCTGGTCAAGAAACATGCTGAAAGCTACAGTGAGATCTGGATACATAATGCTGAAACAACAACATGTATTCAAGGACCTAGAGACTTCGTGAAGGTCGGGTTAGAATATTGATCTTCAGTAACCCATGCTTGTCATAAGAAGCTGACTAACGGGATTCAGGGTGGTCAGACTTCGCTGACTTGGTTGACACATGTCATCGGTTCCCAATTGTGCAGATCGATGATCACACTGTTGATCACTGGATTGTCTGGGCCAGACTCGATTATTTACAGACCCGCCGCCATATAGCTGGAATATTGCTGAGTCTTGGTAAAACAAAACTCACTCAATCACTCAAGGACCTTGATGATCAGCCTTAGGACAACCTTGGGCTAAATACTCATGCATCGATGTCAGGTGTTGAGGCTTGTTATATGAGGATTTTATTTGAGGCTTCAAAGTTTCCAAGTAGTACAGGACAAACATCTGACAATTTTCACTTACTAGTCACCATGGATAGATCATCTGAAAGCCTTCAGTATATATTCTGCAGGCACCAAGGGCAGTTCATCCGAAAACCTCCAGTATATATTCTGTAGGCACCAAGGACAGATCATCTGAAAGCCTTCAATAGCTTCCCACCTACTCAAGACCACCAGAACTTCCTCTCAACCACATAGCTCACCTCTCCTCAATGACTTGTCCAGGTCCGCGTAGAAGTGAGTCTTTCTCCTCCTGAGCCACCTCAAGCTTGTGGGAGTTGAGCATCAGTTACAGGAAGTCCACGCCGACTCTGGTGGAGAGTCAGTGAGTGAGGGAGTGAGTGTGATATGGGAGTGAGTGTGATATGGAAGAGAGTGGGTGAGTTATACAGAAAACAATAAGTGGGTTAAGTGTACCTGAGTTTAATGTGACTTTCTCCTGTGAAAATCGAAAAAATTTTCAATGTTATGGTCACAGCCGTACAGTTGGACTATTGCTGAGTGCAGTGTTAAACAAAACAACAAACCAAATCAATGTTATGGTAAATTTCAACATCTCTTAACAAATCAGTAGCTCGAGGAGTTTAGTTAGTCATCAAAGTCTTACAATGTTCACGATCTCTTCTGTCTGAAATAGTCTGGAGCACAGCCTTTGTGAAGAATTGTAGAAACAACCATCATCAACCATTTTGAAACCAACAGCTTCCAACCATTTGCTTAGGAAGGGAAACAAGGCTGCAACAAGAAAGGTTTTCTTACCACAGCAGCAGAACAATGTGTGTAGGCTTCACCAGGTCGGTCCGTGGACTTATTCTATTATTCTTCAACATATTAAATTTGTAATAAAAAGCGGTGACCAGAGTCAACAGAAGGTGACATACATCCATGGCCCCTCGGTGGGGGCAAAGAAAAAAAGCAAACAAGAATTTAATAATAACAGACTGCAGGAAGAAAAGATAAACACTATTTGTTTCCAGACATAATTTTGGATCAGATTATTTGGATATATCTCCGCGAAAACAGGCACTCCCTTTCCTCAAGAAGGGGAGGTTGTTGAAAATGAAACTTACTGCAAAAGATGAAAAGGGCATATGTTTTTAATTCCGTTTTGTGTCATCTTCGAGCGTTGAGTATAAAAGCATTTTCAGGGTCTGCCTGACAGTCAGCTTCAATACCAAAAGCGGTGGAGGCGATGACATCCAGGGAATACAGTCCAAACATGCTGGAAGAAAACACAGTCACATGTAATACTCTAAGGATGGTGTACAAATAGCTTTGTCAACATCTTTGTAGTCATTTCTTTAAATATTAATCCAAACTGCAGTTTGTGAGTGAGTGAGTGAGTGAGTGAGTGAGTGAGTGAGTGAGTGAGTGAGTGAGTGAGTGAGTGAGATATTCAAGCTACACCGATATATTAATAATGGAGCATGATCACAAGATGTCAGAAATCATCCTAAAAGCCTACACTGCTGTTGCTCAGCATTTATTCCAAACATGATCAATTATCCACATATCTGCTGATCATCCCACACCAATGTTACTGAGGCCTTGCATGGAGTATGAACAATGATCTACAATATGAGGGCAAGATGTTTGGATCTACTCAGTGCTGCTCAACCAATACTGTTCTGTTTACTTACTCTTTCATTTTGATTGTTTTGTGCCTCCTTCTGTAGTTTTTCAGAGGTTAAGTCACCAGAGATTCCATGCACTTCTGCATCAGCGGTATCATCTGTCAACATATATTCCTCCATTCAGTCCGCTCTCCATTTAATCATTCCAGTCCAGTTCCTTCTAAAATACGTTCTTTGTGTAAATTATGAAAAAACATATTTCTCATGGGCTGCAGGATCAGGGCAGGTATCCAGGTTGAAGATAGGATCTTGGACAGGTATCCAGGTTGAAGATACAGGGCAGGGGTCCAGGTTGAAGATACAGGGCAGGGGTCAAGGTTGAAGATACAGGGCAGGGATCCAGGGCAAGGATCAAGATCAAGGATACAGGGCAGGGATCCAGGGCAAGGATCAAGATCAAGGATACAGGGCAGGGATCAGGGCAGGATCAAGATCAAGGATACAGGGCAGGGGTCCAGGGCAGGATATCAAGGATACAGGGCAGGGATCCAGGGCAAGGATCTACACACCATGAGGTCATGACATCAATGTATAACACAGATGATGAGGACATGCAACACCTTCTTACCTCCTTCATCCTGCCTCCTGTGAATGTGGGACTCAGGATTCCTCGGATGAACTTCCAGTGATCATCAACCAAGAAAATAAGGGAATTCCGAAACAGTGGATCTCGTGGAAAGTTGGTGTTGCTCTGAAAGTATGTCACTCGTTATATTCACATATTCTCTGCATATTAAATACTGACAATTCCAAATGTATATATATATATGCATCAGTATCAAGAAAAACAAAGAATGCACAGTATTTTGTTACAGTTGAATGAGATTGGAGCAATACAAAACAGCATCAAATAAAGGGCTTTGCATCTGTATTTCCATGTCCTTAGTACTTGTTTTGTAGGAAAGGGGTAGAGGGGGCACCTGCAATACACTCTGAGAGAGATTACACTGTCAGATCCCAAGGCTAACCTAAGAGATGGGGACGAGACCTTGCAAAACACCAGCCCAGAGTGGAGGGTTGAGAGTTGGAATACACTGTCAGTTCCCAGGGCTTGTGTAGGTGGAGGGCAGGGGACCTTGTACAACACCAGGTTAAAGTAGAGGGTTCAGAGTTGGAATACACTGTCAGTTCCCAAGGCTTTGTGTAGGTGGAGGGACAGGGGACCTTGTACAACACCAGGTTAAAGTAGAGGGTTCAGAGTTGGAATACACTGTCAGTTCCCAGGGGCTTGTGTAGGTGGAGGACAGGGGACCTTGTACAACACCAGGTTAAAGTAGAGGTTCAGAGTTGGAATACACTGTCAGTTCCCAGGGATTGTGTAGGTGGAGGGACAGGGGACCTTGTACAACACCAGGTTAAAGTAGAGGGTTCAGAGTTGGAATACACTGTCAGTTCCCAGGGCTTTGTGTAGGTGGAGGACAGGGGACCTTGTACAACACCAGGTTAAAGTAGAGGGTTCAGAGTTGGAATACACTGTCAGTTCCCAGGGCTTGTGTAGGTGGAGGACAGGAGACCTTGAACAACACCAGGTTAAAGTAGAGGGTTCAGAGTTGGAATACACTGTCAGTTCCCAGGGCTTGTGTAGGTGGAGGGCAGGGGACCTTGTACAACACCAGGTTAAAGTAGAGGGTTCAGAGTTGGAATACACTGTCAGTTCCCCAAGGCTTGTGTAGGTGGAGGACAGGAGACCTTGTACAACACCAGGTTAAAGTAGAGGGTTCAGAGTTGGAATACACTGTCAGTTCCCAGGGCTTGTGTAGGTGGAGGACAGGAGACCTTGTACAACACCAGGTTAAAGTAGAGGGTTCAGAGTTGGAATACACTGTCAGTTCCCAGGGATTGTGTAGGTGGAGGACAGGAGACCTTGTACAACACCAGGTTAAAGTAGAGGGTTCAGAGTTGGAATACACTGTCAGTTCCCAAAGGCTTGTGTAGGTGGAGGACAGGAGACCTTGTACAACACCAGGTTAAAGTAGAGGGTTCAGAGTTGGAATACACTGTCAGTTCCCAGGGATTGTGTAGGTGGAGGGCAGGAGACCTTGTACAACACTAAGGTTAAAGTAGAGGGTTCAGAGTTGGAATACACTGTCAGTTCCCAGGGCTTGTGTAGGTGGAGGACAGGGGACCTTGTACAACACCAGGTTAAAGTAGAGGGTTCAGAGTTGGAATACACTGTCAGTTCCCAGGGATTTGTGTAGGTGGGAGGGGCAGGGGACCTTGTACAACACCAGGTTAAAGTAGAGGTTCAGAGTTGGAATACACTGTCAGTTCCCAGGGCTTGTGTAGGTGGAGGGGCAGGAGACCTTGTACAACACCAGGTTAAAAAGAGGGTTCAGAGTTGGAATACACTGTCAGTTCCCAGGGCTTGTGTAGGTGGAGGACAGGAGACCTTGTACAACACCAGGTTAAAGTAGAGGGTTCAGAGTTGGAATACACTGTCAGTTCCCAGGGCTTTGTGTAGGTGGAGGGCAGGAGACCTTGTACAACACCAGGTTAAAGTAGAGGGTTCAGAGTTGGAATACACTGTCAGTTCCCAAAGGCTTGTGTAGGTGGAGGACAGGAGACCTTGTACAACACCAGGTTAAAGTAGAGGGTTCAGAGTTGGAATACACTGTCAGTTCCCAGGGCTTGTGTAGGTGGAGGACAGGAGACCTTGTACAACACCAGGTTAAAGTAGAGGGTTCAGAGTTGGAATACACTGTCAGTTCCCAGGGCTTGTGTAGGTGGAGGACAGGAGACCTTGTACAACACCAGGTTAAAAGTAGAGGGTTCAGAGTTGGAATACACTGTCAGTTCCCAGGGCTTGTGTAGGTGGAGGACAGGAGACCTTGTACAACACCAGGTTAAAGTAGAGGGTTCAGAGTTGGAATACACTGTCAGTTCCCAGGGATTGTGTAGGTGGAGGACAGGAGACCTTGTACAACACCAGGTTAAAGTAGAGGGTTCAGAGTTGGAATACACTGTCAGTTCCCAGGGATTGTGTAGGTGGAGGGCAGGGGACCTTGTACAACACCAGGTTAAAGTAGAGGGTTCAGAGTTGGAATACACTGTCAGTTCCCAGGAGGGCTTGTGTAGGTGGAGGACAGGAGACCTTGTACAACACCAGGTTAAAGTAGAGGGTTCAGAGTTGGAATACACTGTCAGTTCCCAGGGATTGTGTAGGTGGAGGACAGGGGACCTTGTACAACACCAGGATAAAGTAGAGGGTTCAGAGTTGGAATACACTGTCAGTTCCCCAGGGCTTGTGTAGGTGGAGGGGACAGGAGACCTTGTACAACACCAGGATAAAGTAGAGGGTTCAGAGTTGGAATACACTGTCAGTTTCCAGGGCTTGTGTAGGTGGAGGGGCAGGGGACCTTGTACAACACCAGGTTAAAGTAGAGGGTTCAGAGTTGGAATACACTGTCAGTTCCCAGGGCTTTGTGTAGGTGGAGAGGGCAGGAGACCTTGTACAACACCAGGTTAAAGTAGAGGGTTCAGAGTTGGAATACACTGTCAGTTCCCAGGGCTTGTGTAGGTGGAGGGACAGGAGACCTTGTACAACACCAGGTTAAAGTAGAGGTTCAGAGTTGGAATACACTGTCAGTTCCCAGGGCTTGTGTAGGTGGAGGACAGGAGACCTTGTACAACACCAGGTTAAAGTAGAGGGTTCAGAGTTGAATACACTGTCAGTTCCCAGGGATTGTGTAGGTGGAGGACAGGAGACCTTGTACAACACCAGGTAAAAGTAGAGGGTTCAGAGTTGGAATACACTGTCAGTTCCCAGGGCTTGTGTAGGTGGAGGACAGGAGACCTTGTACAACACCAGGTTAAAGTAGAGGTTCAGAGTTGGAATACACTGTCAGTTCCCAGGGATTGTGTGGGTGGAGGGACAGGGGACCTTGTACAACACCAGGATAAAGTAGAGGGTTCAGAGTTGGAATACACTGTCAGTTCCCAGGGATTGTGTAGGTGGAGGGGCAGGGGACCTTGTACAACACCAGGTTAAAGTAGAGGGTTCAGAGTTGGAATACACTGTCAGTTCCCAGGGCTTGTGTAGGTGGAGGGGCAGGGGACCTTGTACAACACCAGGTTAAAGTAGAGGGTTCAGAGTTGGAATACACTGTCAGTTCCCAGGGCTTGTGTAGGTGGAGGGGCAGGGGACCTTGTACAACACCAGGTTAAAGTAGCGGGTTCAGAGTTGGAATACACTGTGTCAGTTCCCAGAGGCTTGTGTAGGTGGAGGGCAGGAGACCTTGTACAACACCAGGTTAAAGTAGAGGGTTCAGAGTTGGAATACACTGTCAGTTCCCAGGGCTTGTGTAGGTGGAGGACAGGAGACCTTGTACAACACCAGGTTAAAGTAGAGGGTTCAGAGTTGGAATACACTGTCAGTTCCCAGGGCTTGTGTAGGTGGAGGGGCAGGAGACCTTGTACAACCACCAAGGTTAAAGTAGAGGGTTCAGAGTTGGAATACACTGTCAGTTCCCAAGGCTTGTGTAGGTGGAGGGACAGGAGACCTTGTACAACACCAGGTTAAAGTAGAGGGTTCAGAGTTGGAATACACTGTCAGTTCCCAGGGCTTGTGTAGGTGGAGGACAGGAGACCTTGTACAACACCAGGTTAAAGTAGAGGGTTCAGAGTTGGAATACACTGTCAGTTCCCAGGGATTGTGTGTAGGTGGAAGACAGGAGACCCTTGTACAACTCAGGTTAAAAGTAGAGTGTTCAGAGTTGGAATACACTGTCAGTTCCCAAAGGCTTGTGTAGGTGGAGGACAGGAGACCTTGTACAACACCAGGTTTAAAAGTAGAGGGTTCAGAGTTGGAATACACTGTCAGTTCCCAGGGATTGTGTAGGTGGAGGACAGGAGACCTTGTACAACACCAGGTTAAAGTAGAGGGTTCAGAGTTGGAATACACTGTCAGTTCCCAGGGCTTGTGTAGGTGGAAGGGCAGGGGACCTTGTACAACACCAGGTTAAAGTAGAGGGTTCAGAGTTGGAATACACTGTCAGTTCCCAAGGCTTGTGTAGGTGGAGGACAGGAGACCTTGTACAACACCAGGTTAAAGTAGAGGGTTCAGAGTTGGAATACACTGTCAGTTCCCAGGGCTTGTGTAGGTGGAGGACAGGAGACCTTGTACAACACCAGGTTAAAGTAGAGGGTTCAGAGTTGGAATACACTGTCAGTTCCCAGGGATTGTGTAGGTGGAGGGACAGGGGACCTTGTACAACACCAGGTTAAAAGTAGAGGGTTCAGAGTTGGAATACACTGTCAGTTCCCAGGGCTTGTGTAGGTGGAGGGCAGGGGACCTTGTACAACACCAGGATAAAGTAGAGGGTTCAGAGTTGGAATACACTGTCAGTTCCCAGGGCTTGTGTAGGTGTAGGGGCAGGGGACCTTGTACAACACCAGGTTAAAGTAGAGGGTTCAGAGTTGGAATACACTGTCAGTTCCCAGGGCTTGTGTAGGTGTGGAGGGCAGGGGACCTTGTACAACACCAGGTTAAAGTAGAGGGTTCAGAGTTGGAATACACTGTGTCAGTTCCCAAAGGCTTGTGTAGGTGGAGGGACAGAGACCTTGTACAACACCAGGTTAAAGTAGAGGGTTCAGAGTTGGAATACACTGTCAGTTCCCAGGGCTTGTGTAGGTGGAGGACAGGAGACCTTGTACAACACCAGGTTAAAGTAGAGGGTTCAGAGTTGGAATACA